TCAACAGAAGGCTCGATAGTGGCAAAAGACAAAACTAGATCCTGTTAAGCATTCTTCAAAATAAAAGACTTCCTCTCTCCAAAATAAATCATAAATCAGCAAAAGCTGAATGGCCTCCTTTAAGAAACAATCACCTAATGATCCTGATTCATAAATCTAGAATTTGCATTGAGTGGAATTTTGACCCCAAAATAATTTTGAAATCGCTCTCATGGGTGCAAAAATTGGTCTATCGGTATGAAAGTCGGTCATGACATTGATACGCATGCCTGCTCCGGTAAAATGTCTTCAAAATTTCTCTAGGGCTGACGGTTTTCTGTCAAGGTGCTTCAGAGCAAAATCAAGTGACAGGGTACCTTCAGGCACTCCACCATTCATTTTCAGACTTTTCTGAAAAATTTCTGAGCTCAGCGCACACCATTTTTCTCTCATCACTGCAATTACTGTGAATAAGCTACAGATATGAATCGCGGTAATAGATGAGATGAGAAATAGCCCTCTCATATGCTTCAAACGGTTTTTGGATCGGCCTTCCGGATCCTGAACGGGAAGCAGTCGTTCGGACTGCTTTTTCCATTAAAACTGACTGGGTGTCTCATAAAGTTAGATAAAGTCTCTGACACACACACAGCAGTTAGCAGAGGCTTAATCGCTATAGCAACAGAATACATAGATAGATAGAGCTGCTGGTTTGGACTACAAAGACTCTGTAGTTCTAAATATGGCGGAACACTTTAATACAGAGGGCAGAGCAGAAGGTCAGAACTACAACATGGTGGAACCATTACAGAGGAGGCCTCAGCTGCTCTGGACTACAAACCAGCAGCCATAACTGCCATAACTGTAGTTCTATCTATGGCCAAGACTCAGTTAAAACAGAGGCCTGACCAGCATGTCAGAACTACAACATGGCGGAACACTCAATTATTACAGAGGAGGAGTTGGCTGGTATTCTGAACTACTTGGGCTTTGAGCATTATATAACTGATTTAACCCGATCACTATTACACATTGAATTAGTGTGGCAGTTTCAAATGAAGCTTATTGAAAATTTTCAAAATAAAAGCCTTGACAATTTTTACATCATGTAATTGCTTTTTTTTGTGTTAGATAACTGGTTTAACCAAAACACTGTTACACATGGGATTAGTGTTGCCATTTCAAATGAAGCTTACTGAAAGTTTCAAAATAAAAGCCTGCATACTTCCCTCATGTAATATTAAGCTTTTTTTCTGTTTTTTTTTTCCTCTGGATTAACATTAACATTACCATTCCATGGGTGTCTCAAAGATAGAAATCCTTCCCCAGCTTTCTGTCTCTCTCACACACACAGCAGTTGGATGAGGGCCAATCGCTATAGCAACAGAATCCAGAGAAAGGCTGCTGGGTTGTAGGCCAAACCAGCAGCCATAACTGCCATAACTGTAGTTCTATCTATGGCCAAGACTCAGTTAAAACAGAGGCCTGAGCAGCATGTCAGAACTACAACATGGCGGAACACTCAATTATTACAGAGGAGGGCTGAGCTGGCAGTTAGAACTACTTCCTGTTTTGGGCATTATACAGGTAGATTAACCAAACCACTGTTACACATTGGATTAGTGATGTTATGAAAATTAAGTTTACTGAAAGTTTCAAAATAAAACTCTGAAAATTGCACTGACAAAAGTGCATCGCCGTAGGCGATGCAAAAATGAAAATCTTTTTTTTATGTTTTTTTTCTCAGGATAGTGAACTGCCTTGCGCAGCAAGGCAGTTCATTAACATTAGCATTTCATGGGTGTCTCAAAGATAGAAATCCTTCCCCAGCTTTCTGTCTCACACACACAGCAGTTGGCTGAGGGCCAATCGCTATAGCAACAGAATCCAGAGAAAGGCAGCCATAACTGCCATAGCTGTAGTTCTCTTTATGGCCAAGACTCAGTTAAAACAGAGGCCTGAGCAGCATGTCAGAACTACAACATGGCGGAACACTCAATTATTACAGAGGAGGGCTGAGCTATCAGTTAGAACAACTTCCTGTTTTGGGCTTTATACAGGTGGATTAACAAAACCACTGTTACACATTGGATTAGTGATGTTATGAAAATTAAGTTT